TTCTAGCAAAAGTGGGGGATGGGCAACTTAGTTTTTGCGTCGAGGTGGGGATTTTGAAGTGGCAAGACCTTACGTAAGCTCTCAAATTTATTTCAAATTTTTGAACAAATTTTAAATTTTCATTAAAATAAATAAGTTATTGAACTTAATAATATGGGTAATTTAACCCCCTTTCTTTATGATAAACTTAATATTTAATAGTGTTTCATTTGTATAAATAATGTATTGATATATCATTATCTATATGGTGAGTGAGACAGGGCCAGAATTTTGGGTGAGGGTGGGCAAAATTTTCCCCTCCCCTCCCCTCCCCTCCCCTCCTTTCCCTTCCCTTCATTTTGATATATAACTAAATTAAAAAATAATAATAAAGTAAAGGGAATTCCCTCCCTCCATCCCATCTATTCTCCTTAGTTTGAACATATTATTAATCATAAGTTTTTTGTTTGATCCATAATTATTGCATAAAAAATTATATCAATTGTATATTAATCATTAATATTATAGGTAAATATATTACTTATAACATATATATCAAAATTTAAATTAATTAAATATATTTAATTATTTTTTAATAACATATAATTCAAAACCCTTAAACAAATAATATATAATAGCAGGAAAAATGTTAATAAGTTGGATTAGGAAAAAATAATGAAAAATTTATTTCAAAACTCTATTGTTTAAAAAAAACTCTAATTAAAATAAATAGACTAAATTAGCATATTTTTTGGATAAAAATGAAGAATATATTAGTATTTTTTTATAAGACCTTAGAATATCATGATTTTGAAGTATTTTTCACCTTATTTTTTTGCAAGTCTAGTAAATACATAATAATCTCATATAAAATATAAACTTTCAATTAGAATATCAAATCTAATTATTGAATTGATAAAATATAAATTATATAAAAAATTACAATTAATGTAATTTTTTTTATACCCAAATAAAATTATTTGTTTTAAAAATTGATTATAAAGAAAGAAATGGTCCTTTTATGTAACTTTTAAATATTTTCTTTAAATTTAAAAATGTCCTTATAATTCAAACATCAAAAACAATTTTGTACCAATTAAAAATTAATGTAGTAGATTAAACATTTTTCAAAAGCTTATGGGGGGCGGCTGCCCTCCTTGTCCTAGGGTAGTTCGGTCCCTGATTATAAGTATTGACTTTATTTACGTAAACAAGACACAAATAAGCTTTTAATCCATCATAAAAAAAAGGTTAAATTGTCCAAATCACTGAGTTAAAAAGTTCACTTGTTTCAATAAAAATTTAAAAATTTAATCAACAATTTAAAATAAATTTAGGGG